GAAATACTGTTGAGTATGTTTGAATGTTGATTAAAGTGATTGAGAATACATGATCTAAGTGTGTGAAACAAATGTTTTCCAAAATTATATTCTATAGTACTTTACAGGGTTGAGTGGCGTTATACTTAGCTTCGTGCTAACGAGTTGTTTTCTACTTGTTTGTTTGTTAACCCCTTTCAGGTGGGCCTAGTTCTTGAGAGCGATTGAGTTACACTAGCTTAGCTTAGAGTGCTAGTTGTAGTCTAAACTCTTATCAGTTATGTTTATTTTTGAGACTTGGTTGTAGACCTATTTAGTTGCTTTTGATGGTGTTGGACACCAGGGTTATTCCCCAAGTTTGTTTAAAGTTAGTAAGCTTGACATTGTTTAGATCCTTTCCTTGCCTGTGCAATCACCGTGTATGGTGATTGTGGCTGTGACACCTCTTGAAGTTTGACTATTAAGCTTTTAATGCTATTTACTTACTTGTTTAGTTTCCCCTTTTAAGTTAAGTCTTGTTAATAATGTTTAAGAAAAGTGGGGTGTTATAGCCTCTGCCGCACAGCCAGTCGACTGATCAGCCTCATCACGCTGCCCAGCAGCACCATCATCCGGAGACGGCACATCTCAAGCAACCGACACCGGTGCAACAGCCCACGGGTCCAACCGTGGTGGGACAACCTACGATGCAACAGGAGAAACAAAGGGAAAAACAGTCTCATCGAATCGCACATGGCGACAGATAAAAACCTTGTTAGTGTTAGTATCCAAACAACAATAGCCACGAAAAGACGGAGGATACCCTAAAAACACACAAGGAAAAGAACGAAACTATAGTTTGTTACGGTCATAGGGACCTAACATTGGAAAACATAAGCACCCAAACACCCGCAAGTAGGAATAAGATGGAGGTGAACAATTCAAACGGGAATGGGGAGACTCATTAGAAAAAACACGAGTAGGCAATTTTGTTAATTAAGTACACAATGGTCTCAAACGCGTAGTCCCAAAAACGAGATGGAACAGACACCTGAGCCATTAATGCCAGACCCGTCTCAACAACGTGGCGATGCCTGCGTTCTACCTGGCCCTGCTTGTGAGTATACGCACAAGACTGCTTGTGACGAATACCCAGAGAGGCCAGTGTAGAACCAACCTTTTTATACTCTCCTCTTAAATCAGATTGAAAAGAAAGAATCTTGCGAGAAAATGAACGTTCAACAAGTGACCGAAACCTATCAAAAATGGCATACAATTCAGACTTAGCACGCATAGGATAATACCACATATAATGCGTATAATCATCCACAAACAAGATGAAATATTTAAAGCCATTCGCAGAAAGCAACGACGCAGGGCCCCAAATATCATAATGAATTAATTCCAAAGGTTGCGTACTAGTAGTTTCAACACGAGATAAGGAAAAACAAGACGACTTTCCCAATTGACAAGATGAACAAATATTGGGAAGATCACTAGAATTAAATTTACTAATAGACGAAGACTCTAAAATCTGATGTAAGACTCTCGAATGAGGATGACCAAGCCGCATATGCCAAACAAAAGACGAACGTGCAGCAACAAACACAGCAAGAGCTGGACGCAAAGTAGGCCAGACATAAAGACCCCAGACACATGCCCCTTAAAAGAATATTCCTGGTCATAATGTCTTTCACATTGAAACACGAAGGATGAAATTCAAAGAAAACATTATTATATTTAGCAAAACGTTGAACAGACAATAACGAAGAAGAAAGACCAGGAACGTGCAAGACATCACACATTCTAAAAGACCTAGAATCAGTAGCTATTGAAGTGAAACCAACATTAACAATAGGTAAACTTGTACCACTGCCGACTCGTAAAGTCTCCGAGCCATCATAACTTGTCGCAGAAGTCATCTGAGACGAATCAGGTGTAGCATAATTCGTAGCACCAGTGTCAGGAAACCACTGATGAGGACCACCCGAATTGACACCATCACAAGAGAAAGCCACATTTGCCTGAGGAACTGGGGAGGCAGAAAAATGGTGGTAACACGAAAGTGCCGTGTGACCCTGTTTATTACAAATTTAACACCGCGACCTGGAATTAGAGTGCCCATGGCCACACCCTTTATTACCTCTACCGCGACCACCGCCACCCCGCTGCTGCGAACTTTCCCCGTGACCACCACGGCTCGCGGTCAAGGCAGCCGACACAGATCCATTCCTGGGACACCAAGAAATCCGCTACCTCAGTCAGCGGAACAACAGCACCCCGCGTCAAGAACGCTACAGTGGACGGAACTCAGACCACAAGCCACGAAAAACGTACAAATTTTGATCGTCCAACGTGGCTTGCCGTCCGGCAAGCGCTAAATCCTCCACCAACATCTGCGCATGGCCGAGGTAGTCCGATATCGACGAGTCACCCTGACGCAAGACTTGTAACTCACCAAGAAACCGCAAGGCTCGAGGCCATGTCGAGGAGCCGAGAGCCTGCTCAATGGCAAGCCAAAGTTGTCGCGAAGATGTTTGACCAACAGCAAGGTGCTTGGTCTCTTTCGAAAACGACGAAATCAGCAGTGACAAGATGGCCTTGTCCTGACGCCGCCAAGACAGTTACTGCGACGAAAGATCTGTAGCCGCCACAGCACCACTGTTCGCGGTCGAAGCAGCCGCCGGTGAGGGGGTCAGAAACTGAAGAGTGCCATCGACATAGCCGAGAAGACCTTGACCTTCGAAGAACGGGAGCATCTGCGTTCTCCAAAAAATTACGGGTGGTCAATTTTATGGGGACAAAATGATGAGCTGATGAAAGGCTATTTCCGGTGGGAACTAAAGAAGCCTCGGTAATAATCCGTTCGGAAGGATCACGAACAGAGTCGTCATCATTAACACCGATGGCTGCCTTTGAGAGAAAAACCTGGAAACTATGATACCTGATGAGGATATGAACTGTGAATTGTATTCAATACCAAAGTCTGAAGATACAAATATAAAGATACGAAATAGAGTTCTACTCTAACTCAAGTAATATAGTCCTAATACTCAAAGTTTGTGTTGGACTTAATTTTTACAGACATTTGGGGTCTTTCCCCGACACCGTCTGTTGACAGGTATAAATATTTTGTTCTTTTCGTAGACGATTATTCCCGGTACATGTGGTTTTATCCTATGAAACAAAAGTTAGACATATATTCCATATTTACTATGTTTCAAACACTAGTTGAAAAACAATTTTCTCGTCCCATTAAATGGATCCAATCCGACATGGGGGGTGAATATCACAAATTACACTCGGTATTCACCGTCGCCGGAATCTTACACAGACAATCTTGTCCCCACACCCACGAACAAAACGGTCATGTGGAGCGCAGGCATCGTCATGTGGTAGAAACTGGTCTTTAGCTCAAGGCCAAGTCCCCTAAGAAATACTAGGCCTATGCGTACGAGTTAGCGGTTCACTTATTAAATCGCATGACGTCGTCTGTTTCACTAAATGTAAGGCCCTTTTTCCCGTCTTTTTAATAAGTGCCCTAACTACAAAATGCTACGCGTCTTTGGTTTTGAGTGCTTCTCGTGTCTCCGACCGTACAATACTCACAAGATGGATTACCGTTCCATTTCATGCGTGTTCTTGGGATACCCATAATCATTTAGTAGTTACAGGCAGGGTTGCAAAACTCGGCCACCTAAGCCCTAGGCGGCACCGAGTCTTGCCGTTTTGGCCTAAAAGCGGCCGAAACTCGGCCGGCCACCTAGGCGGCCAAACTCGCCCAACTCGGCCGAGTTGACCGATTTTGTCTGATTTTGATCGTTTTTGTCTGATTTTGACCGATGTCGTCTTTCATTAATTATTGATTTTAATATTATTATGATGTTATAACTTATAAATTATCATTATTTTATTTATTTAGATATGTTATTTGATTGAATGTTGAAAACAAGCTCATTAAAATTGTCAAACTACAAGTCGGTCACTATTTTTTTTAATTTTTTTGGTGCCCGCCTAGATTCCGCCTAGGCGCTAGGCGATGCCCGGTCGCCCGACTAGCCCCTAGTGCCTACTACAACCATGGTTACATGTGCTTAGATAGGGCCTCCGGGCGAATCTATATTGCACGACATGTTCGCTTTAATGAGCAGCTATTCTTGTTCGCAAATATTCCTAGAGCAGCATCTACTTCACAACCGCCGCCCGACCATGCTCTCCCGTGGGCTTGCGCTCAAATTCGTCGTACCATGCCAACACTTGGCGTACAGCCGCTCCCACTGCCAGCTAAACCTCCTCCCGTGCCTTCGTCATCAATAGCAGAAGCAACGACATCCTCGTATCAACCGTCGACATCCTCCTCCACCACAACTGGAAGACGCTGGCGCCAGCAGGACCCCACCCGCACCCACACCATGCAGATGCGGTCAACTACGATTGCTTAACGCCAAAGGCCTACAGCGATGGTGGCGTTTGTGGATGATGACGAGCTTATTTGTCACTCACAGGCGATCAAGCTACCGCATTGGAGGAATGCAATAGACGTCGAATTCAACGCTCTTTTACACAATCACACCTGGAAGTTGGTGCCACCTCACCGTGACATGAACGTGATCGGGTTCAAGTGGGTCTTTCGAATCAAAAGAAAGTTTGACGGCACCGTTGAGTGTTATAAGGCTCGACTTGTAGCCAAAGGGCTCAACCAAGTCCCGGGCGTCGACTATGTAGACATAAAGCCCCGTGATCAAACCGGCCACCATCCGTATCTTGCTAGCCTTTGCACTGTAAAACTGGTGGACTATGTGGCAACTCGACATACACAACGCCTTCTTAAATGGGTGTGTTGACGAGAAGATCTTCATGCGCCAACCACCGAGATACATCGATCCCAGTTATCCTCAACATGTGTGCATGCTTCAACGGTCTCTGTACGGCTTAAAACAAGCCCCCCGGGCCTGGTTTAAGAGGCTGCAAGATTTTTTAGTACAAAGTGGATTTCGTCCCTCAAAAAGGACATATCTCTGTTTATTTTTGAATCTAGTTCTATGCGTGCTTATCTTCTAGTTTATGTACATGATATACTTCTAATGGGTAATAACTCAGACATGGTGGATAGTGTCCTCTCTAAACTAGCCACCGTGTTCAAGATTCGTGATCTTGGCAGGCTTCGCTTCTTCCTCGGCATTGAGGCTATACACACTAATAATAATATGATTTTGTCTCAGCACCGATACATGACAGAACTACTTCGCAAAGCAGGCATGGAGTCGTGCAATCCCTTATCTACCCCGATGGCCACCACTGTTGTTATGACCGATGGTGGTTCGGCTGTACTGGATGATCTAACCCCTTACCGCCAGCTAATTGGCTCACTGATGTATTTGTTGATTACTCGTCCAAATTTGTCGTATGCAGTGAATCAGATGTGTCATTTTATGCACAACCCCACCCAAAACCATTGGGCGGCGCTCAAACGTGTTCTACGCTACATGAAGGGGACCTTGCACCTGGGGATTCGTTTTACACCCGCGTCGACCCCAGTAATACATGCTATTTCCGACTCTAACTAGGGCGGCTGCACTGTCGACAGGAAATCAACGGCAGGCTACGCAGTGTTCCTTGGCCCGAATCTCTTGTTTTGGGTGTCCTGGAAACAATCGAGGCGGAATACAAAGCCCTTGTCGATGTTGCGGCAGAAGTAACCTGGGTGTAGTTACTACTATAAGAACTTGGCTTACTCCGTCTGACGGTTCCAGTACTTTGGTGTGATAATCTTGGCGCGACATACCTGTGCTCAAATCCAGTATTCCATGCACGAACCAAGCACATTGAAGTAGACTATCATTTCGTCCGCGACAAAGTTTCGTCCGGGGCTTTGAAAGTCAACTTTTTTTTCCATTCAGGATCAGTTAGCTGACATCTTCACAAAACCACTTTCACCTACTCGTTTCAATGACCTTCGTGTCAAGCTGGGCGTTGTACCATGTCCACCGTCAGCTTGTGGGAGAGTATTGAGTAGTTAGATGTTAGTTGTTAGTTAGAGTCATAAGCTTGTTTTTAGATTAGTTTCCTGCTTCAGTAGTTAGGCTTCGTGTATATATATCTGAGTGTAATTTTGTTCATTCATATAAACATTCAATGCATTAAACCTTTATCTTTAGCCATGGAAATTTTCGTCGCTAACTGTAGCGACAGAAATAAATTGTGTCGCCAAATTCTAGCGACGCATGTTTTTTGCGATGGACGAATTCCATTGCTAAACACTTTAGTAACGGATTTTTCCTATTTAGCGACGGAATTTGTCCGCCGCAAATTATGCATTTTTTTGTAGTATTATGAACTCTAATCTACAAAATTTACTTCTACAATGCACTACTTAACACCTTACGATGCACAACACCTTTCCGAATATGGCACCGCCATTCAATATGCCTCATTCATCTAGAGATTTTGCAAGATTTCATTGTTTAATGATATCCCATCAGCCATCAGACATCATGTTCTAAGAAGTTCTCTATATAAATTTGAAATAGGAAATCCATTTGGACCATTTCTTTCTTTTTTTCTTTTTTTTTTTGAAAACAGGAAATCCAATTCTTTGATGTGCGGTGGATTATGGCAAATTATTAATGTGTGGACCATGATCCACACAATAACAAAACTATAGTTTTTGAAATAATAAATGTACATTATTTGTGTACGTACTGAATGTACTTTATATAATATAATGTACACTTACTACACAAATAATGTATATCTCCTGAATACAGTGTACATTTTTAATATACTAAAAGTACTTTATTTTTATACTGAATATATATTATTTTACAATATACAAAATATGGTCCACACAACTTGTGTGGACCATGGTCCACAGAATAATGATTGGTGGATTATATAGTGGCATTGCATGACGTATTTGTGTTTTGTTTAGCCATTTTATTGCGGATTATAGTGGGATTGCAGTGTTTGGTTTTTGTTTGTCTATTTTCGTGTGATTGATCTGCAGTTGATGTTCGCTTATGGATGCTACCAGTATTAATTAATTGTTCAATTAGATTGTGCAAAATCTCTGGATGCATGAGGCTTATTGAACGGCAGGGCCATATTTGAAAAGGTGTTGTGCATCGTAGGATATAAAATAGTGTATTATAGAAGTAAATTTTGTGCATTATAGTTCATAATAAGGTACATCACGAAAGAGTTTTGTGCACAACAATTAATTATGGTTTCATTCGGCATGGATAACATACACCAATCAATGATAAAAACAAATTCTCTTACAAACTATAACCCAACAAAGGCAATGCCATATTCAAAATGGTGTTGTGCATAGTAGGAAATTTAATAATCATTATAGTAGTATTTTTGTCCATTACCGTTCATAATAAGTGCATCACGAAACCCACTGCCCATGAAGCAACAAAATCATTTTGTGCTCAGATAGCATATAGTGACTCTTCCATATGGGTGGTCATGAGATCGAGCCTCAGTGGAGGCAGTACTGACTCTTTGTGTTTCAATAGGTTAAGAAAGTATAGATGAACAGATATTATAATGTAATAGAGTCAATAGTACTCTAAAATAAAAAAAAAAATAAAAAATAAAAAAAAAAAAACGGAGAGAAGAGTAGTTCGAAAAGGAGAGAGGAGAATCTCTGATTTGTTGGATGCAAAAGGAATTCTGATCTATAAACTAATATGCACTGTATAAAAAAAATTTTGATGCCATAAACTAAAAAATAAAATTGAAAATTTAAGCATTAGAAACAAGTTCTCTAAATAGAAAATAGAGATTGAAAATTGAAAAATTAGAAAACAGAGAACAGTTTCCGCTAGTAATTTTTTTTTTTTTAAGAGACTCATGGCTAAATAAAAGATCTTAAATGAAACCTAACAATTTTTTTCTTGGGTAATGAAAAATTCCGCAATCTCTACCCGATGGTGTACATTGAGCCTTGTGAACCTAGCTGGCATAGGACCACAAGGAGGTAAATCAATTTAAGATACTCATAGTTGAACTGGTCATAGAGGTGAAACTTTGGAAGAATGACTAGGGATCGAGTCTCACTAGCGGCAGTGTGGGAGCAACCTCTCAAAGTGAGGGGGGCTCCTTGTGCGCAGTGAGCACCTGTCTAGCCTCTGTGGTTCATGTTCAGTTGAGTCACCATGATTTACATCCTCCCAAATGGCGGTCTAGCCTCTGTGGTTCATGTTCAGTTGAGTCACCATGATTTACATCCTCGCCTTTTGGAAGAATTTAAGATACTCATAGTTGATCTTCTCAAACCAAGAAAATTAATTTGAAAATTAATAGATTACTCCTACTAAGAGAAGAACTTGGGACCTTATGGTTACCAAGTCAACAACCAACTTGCAGCTTAATGGTTTGGATCAATTGCTAACAGAGCGGCTAAGAGTCAAATGATGCGGGTCTAATTCAAGTTAAATCCAGATTAATTTCACGTGATAAAGATATCGGATGCTATACATCAAAAAACAAAAATTAAAACAAAAAAAAATAAAAAGATGTTAAATGCAAAATTAATAAAATGGGTACTGGGAAATGGCAAGTTATGAAGGATTGTTGATGTCATCCTTCGGCGGTTGCAACCTTTCGAAATAACGTAAACTTTTTCTTTAAAAAATTAGAAAAAAAAATTTAGGTATGCACATTTTAATATTTAATCACAATAATTCACCTAAAAATTATCAAATTTTGAAATAAAAAAAATAGGAAAATAATATTTTTTTTTCCGCTGAGTTATACACTTACGGTCCGTTTGGTTCACAGAATGATTTTAGAGAGAATAGGAATGTTATTCCATAAGGAATGGAATAGGTACGGAATAGAATTAGAATTGTATTCTAGTGTTTGGTTCGTTGAAGGAATAGACTTTAGGAATTATATTCCAACGTTTGGTTGGTTAAAGGAATAGAAATGGAATATATGTTTAAAAGACATAAATGCCCTTCTACAAAATTATTATTATTATTATTATTATTATTATTATTATTAAATTATTAATAAGATAAGATTATTCAATATTAATTACCCTCCTAAGCCTTCGTCCCAGACTCCCAAACTCAAAATACAACCTAACCCTACTAGATATATGATATAATATGGTATTATTTCTTCTTCAAAACTAAGAAATCAGCAGCCCTCTGTCACACACTCTCTCTTTTGTGTCTCTCTCTGGGTTTTATCCGCCAACACAGGCACACAGCTGAGCCATTGGAGCCACACCGCCACACCACCTTCTTCCTTCTTGGCAGCCTGAAATCCTCCTCCTGATGATCATCGCAATCAGCTATCTGAAGATTGGACGACAAGAAAGGCGATTCACAGAAAGGGGATGGATTCAGGGAGGTGTCTAGGCCGCCACTGATTGGAATCAAGATCGGAGGTCATCTGCACGACAGTCTGGATGAACCTTCGTCAATGGCGACTTTAATTTGACGGCGACTGGGCTGTTGCATGGACGATCGGAGGGATTGGTTGGAGTTGGGGATGCGTCGAGGTCGTTCGCCAATAACCGGATTGTCGATCGGAGGGATCGCCAGGGATCCAGTGTTGTCCAACGGCGGCGGCAGGTGTTTCCTCCACCGCCGGCTTTGGGGTTGGCTCCGGGACAACTTTGGCGGCGGCCTTGGGAGCCTCTGGAGCTGGCTCCGACAGATCTACCAGAGGCTCTTCCTTCATTGTTTCTTCTCCATCCATATCCTTATTCTCCTGCTCAGGAGTGAGTGGGACGTCGGGTTTTTTGGGGGTGATAGGGGCTTCAGGGATGGCGACATCTTGTTTTTTTTTTTTCAAATGCTTAGGCTTGCTCGCACAGGCTCCCATGTCTGATGGATGGTGGACGACGACGGAGGATGGGAGCCCCTGGTAATAGCTATTGGCTATTACTAGGAATATTCTTTCTGGTAATAGACATTGTTACCAAACAAAAGTATAGGCCTTGTTATTGGGAATGCTATGCCATTCCTAGCCTATTCTGTGAACCAAACAAGCCATTATAGTATTTTTTTCCTCCTGAATTATTCAAGCGACTATTCTCCCCGATAATGTTAAGTTGGACATATTTACCCTTAAAATAAATATAAATATTTCATTTACTTTTCTTCTCCAACAAATTATGACCACGATTTGGTTCAAACCGAACAGACAATATAACAACCAAACTGAAATATTCCAATTATAATTTAGAATCGAAACTTGATATTTAGAGCTTATTAAAATCACGAACTGGAATGGCCGATTCATGTTCCAAACTGGAAAAAATAAAATACATTTATTGTTAAATTTAGATTATTTAAAAAATAAAAAATAAAATTTTAAAATAAAAACGGTTCAAGATCGCGAATTCCAAATAAATTGAAATCCAAATATTGGGCTCTGGATCTAAATGATAACCGGAATTTTTCAATTCGATTGCTATAGTGTCCGGTTCAGTTTGAACGGAACCGTGGTCATCCCTATGTATAAGCAATAATTTGTTGGAAAAGAAAAAAAGAAAAATAAATAAAATGTTTACTTTAAGGGTAGAAATGTCAATTTAATATAT